CGCTGTGCAATTGTGTAACTTTATTAGCAGCGTCCTCCTGAAATGCGCCAACAACATTGAAAGTAACATCCTCCTCTCTGCCCCATAATGCTCTTTTGGTCGCTATGGTAACGTGTAAATATTTCTTTCAAAATAAGACACAACTACAACACGAGTTAACCGAGTTAACGATAAAACCCCAGAAAACCATAAATTTGACACCCGAGCTTCAACTCTCGTGGCCCAGTGCTAAATGACTCAGCACGGGGGTTGGGGACCGCTGACATAGTGGATCAATACAGTGTCTATGACCCTGTTGGGGACACTCCCATAGGGCTTAAATCCAGGGCTCTCCACCTGTTGCTCTTAGAACTGAAGAAGCTTCTCGGATGAGAGGTGAAACGTCTTTAAGACACTTAAATAAGTCCAGAGGCTTTTCTTTCCAAGCTCCTTAGACAACTCTGAGATAAGCAGTATCCACAATGCTAAAACAACATACAAACATGACACTTTAAAAGCCAAAGACACCTTTATAGAGTTGTAATTTATTATGTGTTAGCTGTGTGTTGTAGTGGTTACTGCAGTTTTTTAACTTTTAGAACAATTATCTATGTCAATTTGAAATGTCCTCTGTCACCAGGACAGAGGACAGTTTGCTGACTTTGTTCCAGGCCTCTGAATTATTAAAATTAAACCAGCTTGGTTTGACTATACAGACAAAACAGCAGTGGTGTTTAATTTTTGCACTTGTTTTTGTTATTGTGCAGCATGTAATGGAGCTGCATTGTTTTTTCAGAAACTAAGCCTTTTCTTTTCACCTGAAATGAGTTCTTATTGGCTTTATTGCTGACATAGTTAGCAAAATGGTAATCAATACAACACTTTACGTCTCAGTACTCAGCAGCTTTGATTCAAGTAACATTGTAACACAGACTCGGCCCTGATTAAAATGCAGCTGTACTCAGTTGCCTTATGCTTAAGGACTGTGTTGAGTTTGAAATGCCTCATACAGCTTTGTATCGACATCCTTACACGTGTAGTTGTCACTGATGTTGGATGTGGCTTGTTTTCTGTGTAGATTCGTAGAGTTCTAATAAAGCATTTCAGGAAATTACATCTGAAAATGTGCCGTGTGTACATGGGTGTTTGTGCAGGGTGGTATAAACTCCTGCATCAATACAACCTGTTGGTGTAATAAATGAATGTTCTGCCAGGACTGCGCGCTGCTGGAGGGGGAGAGGCACTCTGGGCCTGGCTTTCTGGGCCCGACTGTGTGCCTCTCCAAACAGTTCTGGGAATGATTTTCAGTGGTTGCCCCCCTTGCAAGCTTCTTCCAAACCTCTCGCCCTCCTCCTGTAGGGGAGGAAAAAAAATAAAATCCTGCCTCCATCTACCATATCCTGCCTTGTGAGGGCTTTTAGTTCTTTCAGCTTTAGAACACCCAAACTGCTGCCAACCAGCCTCAGGAGGTGCAGCTCCACAGCAGAGCAGAGAGCTTAGCTGACTTAGCTCCCCCCACACCCCACTCGGCCTCTTTAGGTCCAACTCACCTTCTGCCTTCCTGGGTGGGATCATGTAGAAGATCACCCCTATTTTGAAACTAAAACACAGGTCTGTTGCTGTGTTTTTTGGGTTTCTTGCCCCCTACTTTGCACTCGTGGAGTTTTATCTTCGTCAGCGAGGTAACAATTTCTGTTCTTTTTTTTTTTTTTTTTT